ATATATATATATATATATGTATGGGTGCAGTTTGTATAGAGCCTAGGCTCTAAACAGTTGTATAGTAATATGATGCAACAACCCTTCAAAAACCATATTATGGCCATTTGTTTGATCAAAATTTTGAAATATACACTCATTTTATTCTAACAAACAATCACAAAAAAGAAAAATTTGAAAACACAACCTAGGCCGTTCATTTTGGTAAGATGCTTAGATCTAGGCCTTAGAAGGATTTTTTCATTTCCACTTTGTTTGGATGGTTTTATCTAACTTTTTTGAGGTCCCTTCTAAATCCCCACCTCATAAATTCTTATTTTAATTTTTATTTTATTTTATTTATTTTTAAATATTTTCTAGATAACTGATTCAGAATAATCATAATCATTGATCTATGATCCAGTATAAATCTGTGAGTGAATGTTCTACCCCACCGATCTGAGTTTTAAAACACAGATTTGGACTAGTATCTTCGACTTATGTGATGACATATACCTACATATTATTGTATTATATAAGTGAAAATGTAATAAAAATAAATGATCTCATTATATACAATTGCATTATATATGTAGGGAGTCTGCACTGGATAGGGAATGCCAAGACTAGCCCGAGTCCTGCCTGAGCCCATGGAGGGTGGGTCAAGGACCATGTTGTTACTATACATAACGAGAAACATAAAAGAGAGAGAGAAAGTAATGAAAGTAGAAGTGGCAAGGAAAAAGCTCATTTCTTCCTTTTACAAAGCTCATCAATAAGCTCACTCAAATTGTTATAAGACGACCCACTGTCACCAACCGCCCTCCTAGCCTTCTCTTTTATCTCTCTACCCCTCTCCCTTGCCTTCCCCCCTTTCTCTTCCCTCATCAACTCCACCACCTCTCTCTCTACAACTTCTCTCTCTACAACCTCCCCGTTCTCGCCTGCACCCCACACCACCCTTGATCCCACCCCTAGCTCCTCTTCCACCATCTTACCATTCAAACTTTGCTCAGCCATCATGGGCCAACCTAATATTCGCACTCCGTACACTAGACTCTCTAGAAGAGAGTTCCATCCACAACGGCTCATGAATCCACCAACAGCATTGTGGCTGAGTACTTGAACTTGTGGAACCCACCCTCAGATCATGAGCGCACGCCCCTTGACCTTGTCCCCGAACCCATCATCAAGCTTGGGCTCACCTCTCACCGCCCACAAGAAGTTCGAACCCGAACCCTCGAGGCCTACGCCAATCTCTCTCATTTGAGCCTCCTCTTGACGAGCTTGTAACCCAAAGGCCACGTATAGCACCGAACCATCCTCCTTCATGTCAAGCCAATCCAAACACTTAGCCAGCTCCATATTGGGTCTTTCCACTGCATAAAGATGTGGGAATGAATAAAGAGAGAAATTAGAAGAAAATAGTATACATGTTTGTATATTAAAGTGAAATACAAAAGATCACAGGCGTATGTGGTCAGTAGTTGATATTAGAACCATTATGTCTCAAGTTTTTTTGGGTAAATCAGTGGGATAACGAGCCCCTACCGATTTTGTTTTTAATAATGAACACAAGAAAAATGTTACATCACAGAGGGGAACATGTACGAGAAATTAAGCATGCCTTTCAAGAGGGACATTGGCATTATCTCACGAAATGAAGGGAGTGAAAAAATCAGGGGGATAGGCCGCCAAACTGTGGCTTGTGCCATGAATGTCGTCTACTTAGCAAGGTAATCAACAATCAGATTCGCCTCCCAGAATATATGCAATATCTACCATTGGTGATCTGCAAAGGAGTATAGTTTTGCCCTACAGTTGGACAAAAAGATGTGAAGCCTCCATGGGGGAGAGTTGTGGTAGATGAGTGAGTCAACTAGCAACCTGGAGTCACTCTCAATGATTAGAGGGCGACAATCCATCTCATGCACCAAGGAGATACCTCTATCCAAGGCATAGAAATCAACAACATTATTGGAGCTGGTGCCAAGAGGGACAACAAAGGCCACTATGAAGCCACCTGTGCCATTTCTGATGATCCCTCCCACATCATGCGGTGCTTGGGTCGCAAAAGGATGAGTCATCGATGTTATGCTTAAAATACCCGGTGGGTGGGAGAGACCATGCAATCGAGATAAGGGTGGAGGGGGGTGCGATATGCCACTTAAGCTTGAGGTTTGTGGAAATATAAATTTCAGGGGGGTGGAAAGCCCAACCCTTCCCTTCTACTAACTTGCTCACAAAGTGGATGATGCACCCCAAGAGATGCTCCCTAGAGGTCCTTCTCCCCTCATGAATACATGCATTACGCTTGACCCACAAGTGCCTGACAGTGGTGGAGAAGGTGGAAATCCAAATGTTCTTCATACCATTGGATCTAAACTGGAACTTTAATGACTTCGCCATCATCATGATTACAGATTGCTCAAGTGGTATGCATTTTCCAAATCTCCAAAATATAGATCTCCAAAGCACCTTCGAAAACACACATTGTATAATGATATGGTCAGATGACTGTTCCTCTTGGAGGCAAAAGGGGCATCCAGAGACCAAAGGAAGGCCCTTAGACTAGAGGAGGTTCATGGTGGGTAATAGGGAGTGCAGGGGGAGCCAAGTAAACCACTTTGCTTTAACATAGGATGGGGTTTTCCAAAGAGCCCTGAAAGTTGGTCCGGAGAGGGGTAGATAGGGAGCATATATGAATAAATCTACTCCCATGCACAAATGAGTGGAGTAGAAGTAGGTATTGGAAGAGTCAATTTTTGTGGTGTACCGTCAATGTAATCTAAGACCTTGGATTTTGCCAGGTTCCCAAAGGTCTCGTGAGCATCGGCACCATATAGCTCCCATAAGAAAGACTCTAAAAGCCGTGGGTTAGCCCAAAATTCTACCAGCTTGCCATCACCAAGTATCCATCTTACATTGCCTTGCAATCTACTCAAGCCCTTTAGTATACCCCTCCAAGCATGTGAATAGCTCTTAGGGTGAGTATTCCAGAGCGATGAGTGGCGAAAGTACCTATGTTTGAAGAATTAGGAGAGGAGAGAGGAGGGATTGGGGATGATTCTCCATGTTATATTCATCATGCCCGCCATATTAAAGTCATAGAGTCTACCAATCCCAAGGCCCCCTTCATCTATTTTTTGACATATAGTATCCAAGTTCACCAAGTACAAACCCCTATTCTCTGAAGTCCTTGCCCACAAAACGTTTGCATTGGATTCTTTCAATCATAGTGCAAGTGCGGCTAGGGAGACATAAGAAGAGCAACCAGTAAATGGAAGAAGCATTGAGTATTGATCTTAAGAGTTGTAATCGTCTTGCAAAGGACAAAGATAATGCTTGCCATGAGCCAATCAGGGCAATGGTCTTCCTAATAAGGGGCCCTGAAAGAGAGGAAGTCCTAAATATCAGGTCAGAAGGTCCCCCAAACTAAACTGAAGTTTTTGAAGCACTTGTGCTCTCAGACTGCTACTAACCCCAAAGAACATGACTTTTCTCTTGTGGTGATTGAGTTTTTGTCCCGTCGCCCTACAAAAAATGTCAAAGATGTGCCTAATGGTCTTTACCACGAGGTTGAAGCCTCGCTAAAGATGAGGGCGTCGTCTGCATAAAGGAGGTGAGTGACCCCATTGTTGCACCCCGATAGGAAAGGAGGGGGGAGTGATTTGTCCGTAGTAGTGGCATCGATCATTCTACTGAGATAGTCCATGACAAGGAGGAAGAGGTCTGGGGATAGAGGGTTACCTTGTCTAAGGCCTCTCTTACTCTTGAAATAGCCCACAGGGGATCCATTATGCAAGATAGATAAGGATGGGGTAGTGATGCAATGCTGAATCCAAGTTATAAAAATGTTTGAAAACCTCTTTGCATGTAGTCTGTTGGATATGAACCCCCATGAGAGCATGTCATAAGCGCTACTAAGGTCCAACTGAAGACACATCTTCGGGCTGGCTGAATTCTTGTGGCACAAGGAGAACAGTTCATTGGCCATGAGGACATTATCGGTGATAGCCTCCCTTTGAGAAATGCAGCTTGGCAAGGATGTATTTGTCCATCAAGTACCCTCTTGAGCCTGTTTTCCAGTATCTTACTAATAATTTTATACAATACATTACAAAGGCCAATTGGTTTGAAATCCCTCATAATAGTGGGGTAGGAGACTTTGGAAATCAGGCATATGAAGGTAGAATTAACGGCCTTGAGAAACTTTCCTTTACCAAATAAGTCCTTAAGAGCACTGAAGAGATCAATCTTGATAACATCCTAGCTGATCTTATAAAACTCCACCCTGAAGCCATCTGGTCCCGATGCACTCTCTGATTTTATATCCCATACTTACTTTCGAATTTCCTCCAGGGAAATTTCAGTTGTTAATGCATCACAATCTTCCTTTGTAAGGCACCTGTCTGGAAGGAAATCTGTAGCCGTGGGACCCACTAGAGTGGCTTTTTGTGTCTTACGTACTAAAAGCTCCTCAAAATATGCCATGATGTGGCTTTTAATAGCTTTAGGGTCTAAATTTGGTTGCCGGTGGAGTCTTTGAGGAAGATGATTTTGTCATGCCACCTTCTGACTATGGTGGACATATGAAAAATTTTGGTATTAGAATCCCCCTCTTTAAGCCAAATTTCCCTTGATTTCTGTCTCTACATACTTTCCTCATGTGCTAGATATTGCTGCAGTTGGGATGTAAGCTGAGCATCTTCCATGGTAAGGGAAAGGTCATCCGGATGTTCACTTAACATATCATGCAGGGTCGAGAGCCTATTTCTGATCTCTCTTATCTTGGTGTCAACAAGTCTAAATGTCCTTTTGTTCCATCTACTGATATCCCCACACAGTCTTTTGAGTTTGGCTGTAAATATGTACATAAGGGTGCCCTCAAGCTTTACATGCCAAGATTGTTTAGTGAGGTCCATAAAATCTGGGGCATTCTGCTACATGGTGAAGCATCGGAAAGGTTTAGGGCCAGGTGATGGTGTGGGGACAGGGGAGACAAGTAATGGGGAGTGGTTTGAGGTGCCTTTTGGTAAGAGTTCAACCTTGACCTCCGGCATTGCCAACATCCATTCTGTATTAGCCACTGCTCTGTCAAGTCGCTCTCTAATGCACCGGGACGCTAAACTACTATTCGACTATGAGAACCACCCTCTCGAGGAACCCAAGTCAACAAGGGCACAGTCCACTAACATTTTTTCAAAATTCTCAGAGTATGGACTAATTGCATTTCGACCACAAAGCTTCTTTGACAGGTCCAAAATAGAATTGAAATACCCAAGCATGAGCCACTGTACTGAGCTTGATGTTCCGTAGGTAGTCCCACAAAATCTCTCTCTCTCTCTGCACAGCAGAGAGGAGTGACCACCCCTCTCCTGTTGCACATCCGTGGATTTTTGCTTTGAGGTTCTTTGTGCCTTCAATGTCTTGTGTTTCTGCTAGTCCATATTAGCTCTTGTCTTTGATGTGGTCTTAAGAGAATAACTTGCACCTTCACAGCCTTGTCTGGCATGGGCCTCCATAGGTGTACAAGCAACATTTGGGTTAGGTTGCTCGATATCTACTTCTAATGTAGTAGTAGTCTGGTGGGTGTGACATCCGAGTCCTAAGTCACAACCCTTCACAAACGATGGGGAATGGACACTGGTCTACCCGGAATTTGGTCGACCTGCAATTGTGCACCATCATCTGCAAGTTAGAACCTCATTTTTCTTACCCTGACCATATTTTCCTATTTGTTGGGCCTCTACTAATAACAAGTCATTCGTCATTCTCACTTCATGCCTAGCTGACCCCTGTGAGGTTATTTCCTCATCCTCTGCTAATGGAAGATCATTAGTTGGAACTTCTTCTTCAACATTTCTTACCCTCTTTGATGGTTGACCTCTATTATCATCGTGTGATTCTAATGATTGATCGTCGAGGTTGTCCACTGCTCGTAACCGTGGTCGGGGCTGGACCTCGTCATCATCCATGTTTGCATCCAACCCACGCAGGGGACTATTGGGTGTCACTTCAGTTTGGCATTGAGGGGGGTCACTCTGGAATTGTTCATTTGTCTCCCTGCGATCATGTGGAAGATGTGCATCTTCGGCTGTGGAAACCATGACCTCGTCATTGTCCTGCAAATTTAGAAGGGCCTCAAATAGGCCTCCATTTGTTGTAACTGGTTTTTTTCTAAAGAATATCTCCTTGTTGCCCTTCTTAACCCGCCAAATCTCCTCTCCCCTAGAAGATGGTGGGTTTCTTTCCTTAGTTGTATTACTGGTTACAGTGGTATTGAAGATGCGGAGCTGACTTTTATGCCCAAATGCTTTACATTTCAAGCACATAACAGGAATGAATTCATAGACCACCTTTTGCTTTATGATCCTTCCATTCAAATTGACAACAATTTCATCTAGACACTCCCTGTCGCGCTCCATAGCCACACATACTCGGGCATATGGATGAGTATCTCAAGTTCAATTCCTATAACTAAAATACGGTACACGTAAGTGAACCGAATGAAAATGACATGCATGTGGATGTTGAAACGAAAAAACAGATCTTGTCAAAAAAGAGAAAGAAAAAACAAAAAAGAGAAGAAGATATACATGTGCTTTTGTTTGGTATGAATATTACTTAAAGGAAACATTAGGCACCTTTGGTTCTTTAGTGTTTTCTACAATGAAGCTGAATAATGAATAAAGATAAGTCAGGTTAAGATTAAAAAAGAACACATAGATTATGCTCCCTCTAGGGCGTAGTACACATAGATTATGCTCCCTCTGGGGCGTAGTGTACATCTAACCCCTTCCTCATAAGACCTACTTGGGAAATTTTTTTCAATCTAAAATTTTGGGAACCACTTAATAATTACTAATGATTGTTTTCAATAAGAAAAATTGAAATTTGAACTGCGTAATACTTAGATCTTACCAAAATTGGATGGTCTCTATTCAATCTCGAGTATCTTTTGTATGTGCATAGAGGGTACAATTATGAAAAAATTTATTTTTTATTGAGGCGAACCTATAGGTTGAAGAGGTTACATCTCCAAAATTTGAAGTCCTAAAATTAATTCTATGTGGGGTTACCCGATAGAGTAAATGGACATTCCACTCCTGTGGGAGTAGAATATCTTTTGGTAATGTAAAATAACTTCGTTTAAGTTCGGTGGGACCATTGAGAAGAGTCCGGCGACGTTGCCTTCGGGCCTGCGGCAAAGCAGGAGAAAGATTTTATACTCTTGCAGGAGCATACTATTTATCTACTCTCTCAGATAAATCTTAAGACTGAAATATTTTTTGGACTTAAAATTTGGCAATACATCCTATTCAATCTAGCAACCACCCTCAAGGGAAAAATAAAATAAAATAAAAAGAAACCCTCTCTATAGGCCGAAAAAAATAACATATTGAAACTTAACATAGACAGTTTAATTTTTGGACAGCAGATGCAAGCGTCAAAGAAAAAATCAAATTTCTTCTTTTGATACTAATCTTTTGGCAATTTATAAGTGGACATTAAAATTTCAAATAAAAAAAGTCCTTTCAAGTTAGATTTCACTCAAATGAATGGACAATATGCTCTTGCCGGAGCATAGCATACGCTCCAATAAAAGAAAAGGAAGTGCTTGTATACTCTTGATTGGACAGAAGTGACGTCTTTTTCTTTGGCGGGAATAGCAGAGGCTAGTTTGTAGACGACTTCAGAAATCTCAACCGTAAACCAATGTTCTAAAAGACAGATTGATGGAGCAGATCGATCCCAATTAATTGGAAAATACTATTGATAGTGATGATAATGATTGATGGAGTAGATTGACCACAACCAATTTTGGTTTAGGTCAGTAGATTCAGCGATATGGATCGGCTAGATAAGATCGGATTGGAGATTTGGCAAAAAATAAAATAAAAATAAAAAAAAAAAAACAAAAATTGACATATATGATATATAAAAAAAATTCCTTCATGAGTACACGGGTACAAGAG